AAAAAAAAAAAAAAACAGCCTTACTGTAAAAAATAAAATAACACAGAAGTGAAGAACTTGAGGTCAGCTCCTGGCTTCACTAATGTCACTTTCCATAAATAATTATTCCAAATCTTTTTTTAGACGTCTATAAGCATATAAGTCTCTTGTGTTCAGATGATGTCATGGAGTCCACACGGGAGTGCAGTGTCAGTTTTCATGTCTCTTTATGCTAGCTACATATTTACTTCCTTCATTCCTTTGTTTTTGATTTTTTTTAATCTCATTTTAATAACCAGACGGTATTCCTTCATATAAATGTGTTGTGATAGATTTAACCTGTTGTGTATTGAATGATGTTTAAGTTATTTTCAGTTTTTCACTCTTAAAAATAATCCCAGGAAGAATATTCTTGGGTCTAAATTTATAGGATAACTTCTTAAAAGCAGATTAGTTCTAAGATTATGTATATTTTTACGGAAAGGATCTCATTTCTCACCTGAAAGTGCCAGTTCATGTTCTCAGTTTAGCCTGTTTCTTATTTATTCTCATTCATCATTCTTAAGTATTAAGAATTAATATTTTAATCTGTTAATATGATGCAAAATGGAAGCTTTCTGTCTTTCCTTTACATTTCTTTAACAATGAGGTTCAACTCCTTTATACATGTTTACACATGACCCTTGAACAACAAAAGTTTAAACTGCGAGGGTCCGTTTTTTAAAAATAAATATAGTCTGCTCTGTGTATATCAGGAGGTTCTATATCTGCAACCAAATGCAGATCAACAATACAGTATTTAAGGGATGTGAAACCTGCAGATAGGGAGGGCTGACTTTTTGTATCCTCAGGGCTGGCTACAGGACTTGAGCATACTTGGAAGATTTGGGAGTTGTCCTGGAACCAGTCCCTTGAGATACCAGTGGAAGACTATTGGCTATTTAGTTTTTCTTCTCCCGTGAATGGGCTGTTCAAGTCATTTTTTCTGAATTGTTTTCAGCTTTGCTTTCTGTGAGCTAGATCTGTTTGAAATGTAATTACAGTATAGTGGTACTTTATTAAAAGTGGGTACAAAGTAATGAGAGAACTGGGGGAACCTTCCCCCTGGAGGGAAGTAGAAAATCATTCACAGGAGGGGTTGACATTTGACTGAAGTCTTGAAAAGTTGGGTGACAAGGAGTCCAAAGCGTTTTAGGTGCTGTGCTATGTACTTTTGACTTCTAGATAAAGGAGAGTCATCACATTTTTAAGCAGAGGAATTACAATTTATATTTTTAAAAGGGATTGTGATAGCTTTTGTAAAGGATTACAGGAAGCAGAGATAACAGGTTTCAGTAAAGCACTGGAGAAATCATTAGGGTCTAAATAGAGGCAGTAGCGTTGAGAGTGAAAGGGAGAGGGAAGATAATTCAGAGGTGGAGCAGACAGGGATTTTGGTGTCTGTGTGAAAGAGAATTCTGAGCTTAGGCAACTGAATGGAAGATGGTGACATTAATGTCCCATAGTCTAAGAAAGAGCAGTATAAATGGATAGGGAGAGGTTAGTTTGGATTAGATAGGTTGAGTGTGAAAAGTATTTAGGACTCCCCCCCCCCCCAAAGCATTTCAAGTTTGGCTTTAGAGCACAAGTGAATCAAGATTTGGAGACATGGATATGTATAGATAGCATAGGTGGTAGCTCAAATCATTGGCGTGAATAATTTTTATGTGTATAACTACTAATTTCCTATATGTCCTGACACTTAGTATGGCAGGAAGAATTGGATTGAAGATAGACCATGATAGAATTGGATTGAAATAGACATGGCCTATTTCAAGTGCTTTATAAAATAGTTAATTGTAAATATTGTATAGAAAATTAGCTGAATCTATATATAATTACATATAATTAAATACAGTTAAAAACTAAAGTCAAAATAATAGCTATTAAGCCACCCCTTGAAAGAATTCTTACATGACAAATAGTATGTGAATTTGGTTTCAGCGTACTTTTTCCCCTACATTGCTGTCTATGAATTTAAAAGCTGAACATTATACTTGTAGAGCAAAATTCAAATTGTATATAATTATATTTCCATTCAACATTTATTGAGTTACCTACTATTATACTATGCTATATGCTATAAGTGTTTTTCATTAAACACATGACAAATTTTATTACATGACTTAATTTTTATGTCCAAGCACAAGGATAATGAGATACATTTTCTATGCAAAATATTATATACATTAAATAACATACAGTGGTAACAATGCAGTGTAGGTTTCTTGGGAAGCAGACTCCGACAGAAATATACAAGTGTATATTGTATATATGCTTGTATAGTGTATTTATTGGGCAGTGCTGTCTAGATGAGGACCAGTGAGAGGGGAAGAATGAAGCAGGATACACAGAGCAAAAAGTTGAACTCTATCGAAGTCCTGACAAATATCTCAGTTGATCCCTTGAGGAACCTCTGAAGTTGGGAAAGTCCCTCAAAGATGTCTGAATTAAGGCAATGGCCAGTCTTTGGATATCTCAGCCCCACAAACACGAACCTTGAATGAGACAACTCTTTAGCCAGGGGCAATTTCCAGAGAAGAACTCAGCAGGGAGTAGCCAACTACCAATAGTCCCAGAAACTGAGGGAAGGGGTGCTTCAGTCTAAGAAGGGTTGGGGATTTGTGAGAATCTGGGAAGCATATCATAACATCGACTGCAGATGATCAAAAAGAACAGTACACAATTCATAATTTACAGCAAAGTTCTGCCTCAATCCCAGATACAATTGAATTTAAAATTATGAAAAGGTAAAATTCTACCAAAAAAGAAAGAAACCACCTGAAATGCCAGCTACTAGAATTATGGAAACTTTGATAGGAGAGAGAAGAAACAAACTCTCCAAAAAGGCCTCTAAATAGTAAGGGGAATTATTTCCGGGAATACTTATTTTGTTTTGGGGGGTTTTTCCCCAAAGTCTCAAAAAATAGAAAACTAATATTTATAAATAAAAATAGAAGATAATTTCAAAAAACCAATCATGCTAAAATAGAAAAAGAAGAAATACTTCAGATTCCTTCTACTTCGTCTGGTGGATATACCTGATATTAAAACTGGAAAAAATATAGTTACAAAGGGAAATTACAAACATATTTCACTTATAAATGAGGATGCAGTATCCTAAACAACATATTAACAAGTTGAATTAAAAGTTATTTTAAAAATTATTGTTCAAATAATGTACTTTGGTCAAAATTAAATTCAACTTACATGAGAATTGGTCACTATTTTCTTTTTTTTTTTCCTTTTCCTTTCCCCCACCGCCTCCCTCATTCTGTCTACTCTCCCCTCCCCCCCACTGTCATTGTTATTAATTGTCCTCATATCAAAGTTGAATACATGCTTCATCCATTCATGATTCATCCATTCCTGTGATGCTTCTCTAAGAATAATGTGTTCCTCCTTCATCCAGGTTAATAACAAATACTGCAAAATCTTCTTTTTTTTTTTAATGCCTAATAGTATTCCATGGTATATATTCCATATATACCACAGCTTGCCAATCCATTCTTGGGTTGAGGGGCATTTAGACTGTTTCCACATTTTGGCAATTGTAAATTGAGCTGCGATAAACAGTCTAGTACAAGTGTCTTTATAATCAAAGGTTTATTAGGTTTTAATAATAAAAGGCTTATGAATGTTAAAAGAAAGGTTAGCATTTTTTTTTTCTTTTAGGAATTTAGTTTCTGTTTAAGGAAATAAAGCACATACAAAAATAATTTGAATAATTAGAGACAGGGAGGCAGGATGCGATTATGTGTTAGAACAAATAATGTGGACAACTTAAAAGTTAGGGGAAAGGATCGTATTAGAAGTCAGAGGAGGCCTTAGTGAAGGAAAGAGGTTAACACATGTTGCAGGCCTTTTGTGCATTGGGCACTCACCCTGCAATGTAAGAGGCTGTATATTGATGAGAAAATTTTGCCTAAGAAAAACTAACCTGCCAAGATTCACAATGTCTTGTTATAAAGCCCATATATTTTTCCCAGTGAGTTTTTTTGGGTTTTTTTGTTTTTTTGAGACAGGAGCCTCAAGCTGCCCCCCTGGGTAGAGTGCCGTGGCATCTCAGCTCACAGCAACCTCCAATTCCTGGGCTCAAGTGAGTCTCCTGCCTCAGCCTCCCAAGTAGCTGGGACCACGGGCGCCCGCCACAACGCCCGGCTATTTTTTGGTTGCAGCCGTCACTGTTGTTTGGTGGGCCTGGGCTGGATTCGAACCTGCCACCTTGGGTGTATGTGGCTGGCGCCTTAGCCACTTGAGCCACAGGCGCCGAGCCGTGAGTTTTAATACTTAAAAGATGGGTAAAGTTAGCATCACCAAGTGTTTTTTAACAGTACATGCTTATCTTTCTCCGAATCAGATTATGTGGCCTGAGTTTGCTTCAGGACCATGGGAACTTACTACTGCCTCCAACGTTACTTCTATTATTCCTTCTCTTTTCCTGTTTAATTGAATCTCTTATTTTGAAAAAACTTTACAAGCAACAACAGAGCTTTACAGCATTAAATTAACCTAGTTATCCAATTAAGATGATAAAATATTTATCAAATTCAGGAAATTTTTGAGGCATATCCTCTGTAAGCTTATCATTGAGAGATGTTATTTTTTGTTTTGGAATTTGAAAATGGTTGGTAGACATACAACACACACATAAACATACCCCTTTCTCTCTTTTTTTTTTTTGAGACAGAGTCTCACTATGTCATCAACAGTAGAGAGCTGTGGCATCACAGCTTACAGCAACTTCAAACTCTTGGGCTCAAGGAATTCTTTTGCTTCAGCCTCCCAAGTAGCTGGGGACTACAGGTGCCAGCCACAACGCCCTACTGCGCTTTCTCTCTGTTATTACTTCTATCAAACTCTGGAATCTAGGGATTCTATTAATATATTCTACTAATAGATACAGCCTCACCCTGTGAAATTAAAGGAGTCCTCAGGCTGTGATATCTGATGAGAGCATTTCCAAAGGGTCAGGGCTAGAGTTAAAGGAGAACAAAGGGTATGAAAAAATAAGTGTAATTGGCACAAATATGATTATTTGTTCCTTTAGAATGTAGATTACTTTTTCAATATAAAAGTCTTTTTTTTTTTTGCCTTTTAAATTGCTGAGATACTTTACCCTACCTCTAAAATATTTCAGTTTGCAAAGAAATAACATTTTCACATCTGGAATAATATCACATTTAGAAAGTTATTATTTTTATTATATATAATAATCAGTCATGTCAAAATTTTTCCCATTGTTTAAAAAATATCTTTCACAAGTGATTTTTTTCCAGTGCAGGATGATAAACTGAATCTTATTGTCACATCTTTATACTAAGTCCTTTTTAACTTACATAACAGTTCAAGCTAGACTAACTGGATATTAAATGTATAGGTTTGATTATATTTAAGTTAATTATTTTTGGCCAATAGCATGTATCTTGACTGCTAAGTACTTTTTCCTGCATTACTTCAAGAAACAGTCTCTGGTTGCCCCATCCTTAGTGAAGCTAAAGTGAGCATTAGGTTAGGGGGGTAGTCACATGATGCTTGTAACCAGTAGGTCTCTACTCCTGCAATCTAGAAGTTACCTGTGTGCTACTACTTTGGGATTGCAAAGATGTTCAGTTCTCAACTCTTTGCCAGTTGCTAATCCCTGCATGAATCAGTAATGTGTCTGAAGATAAAATTGATTATTCTCAATTGCAATTTCTTCTGTTTTTGCTGTCAGTGTTTGGTAAAGATAGAGCTTTTGCTTATCATCTAAGACTCTGGTTACCTAAATGACAGTTCCTACCAGAAAAGTGAGATGAATGCTTAATTCTCTCCTTTGCCAGTTTCCAAAGTAAGAAGTTAGTATAAAAACCCAGATGGTAACAAATGAGTTTTTCTCATTTTCTCCTTTGTTTTTTTGGTCATCATATATAAACTCGGATTTTCATAGGATCAGTGTGTCTCAGTCAATAGTATTCTTCCTTATATTCAAATTGTGACAGTTTTGGGTATTAGGAGTCTTTTCGAGCTGCCTCTTTTATCCCTTTCATCTTTGAACAATTCCTTAATTGCTGAGATTATCAGCAAGATAATCCAGACTTATTTTATACTTTCTCTGTCCCAGAATGGTGCTTTCTGCGTCTCCAGTGATAACAGAAAATATAAATTCTAGACTTCAGGGATATCATTGATACTGGGCCCATTGTTTCTAGGCCTTCTCTGTGAACTGAGTTTAAAAAAAAAGTATGCTTTTTAAAATCGTGAGATTGGCTCAGTGCCTGTGGCTCAAGCAGCTAAGGTGCCAGCCACATACGCCTAAGGTGGTGGGTTCGAATCCAGCCCAGACCGCGAAACAACAATGACGGCTGCAACCAAAATAGCCAGGCGTTGTGGCTGGTGCCTGTGGTCCCAGCTACTTGGGAGGCTGAGGCAGGAGACTCGCTTGAGCCCAGGAGTTAGAGATTGTGGTGAGCTGTGATGCTACGACACTCTACCCAGGGGACAGCTTGAGGCTCTGTCTCAAAAAAATACAATAAAATAAAAATAAAATAAAATTGTGAGATCATATTAATATTTTAAATTCAATTTTAATAATATTTTTGCTTAATTTTATATACTTTGATAAGTATAAATAAACCTCATGCTTTGGTAAAGATCTTTTTCTAATCCTTTACTTTTTTTAATCTGGAAAAATGATTATTTCTAACTTATTCCACAATGAGATTACCTTCCTGAGACATATCTTTCGAAAATAAGGAAAATGACAGGAGATGTGTTCAACCTTTTACTTTTAAAAGAAACTTAAGATGATTCTTCTTACTAAATAAACTCCACTAAGACTCTAACATAGGCGATAAAGTGAAGAGGTAAAAGAATAATACTTAATGTGTACACAGTGGTTTTAGCGTTAAAGTACTATCTACTGTCCTTCATTCTGCTGCTTATTCCAGGTAAGTGTATGAAATTGTGAAAAAGGATGCAAACTTCATGACTGCATTTGTAAATACTAAGTCTTTTAATTTGTAACCAACATAAATTTTTTTTGAGCTGTAAATCTCATACCTTTTTAAACTTTCTAAAAGTGTTGACTTGTGTATGTATAAAGTGTTAAGACAGGTATCTTCGTTGATATACTAACCGAGATTAGATCTTTTTCCTGCTCTTATTGCAAAAAAGTATTGTTTTAATTGGAGTTACCTCTTGAAAGATTATGTTAACAGTTATTTAAAAAACCTGTAGCTAGATAGAATTTATTATTAGATGGTATTCTTGCATGTATGTGTCTTTTGAACTTAGTGATAAAGTTAAAGGAAAATACTTTTTAAATGTCTTTTAAATCCAATATACTTGTAATAAGCAACCTTACAACCGTCTCTTTTCTTTCAGATAAAGCTTCACCAAGAAGGTTGCCCAGGAAACGGGCACAGAAGAGATCAGTGGGATCTGATGAGTAAATGTTCCTTTGTGCAACAATTCAGTCTTTACTTAACCTGCCCTAATGTTTTTCGGCCTGATGGGAATTAGTGCAGAGAAGCCATATCACCATAGAAGGCAACTACTACTTATGTGTGGACTGAGAAATCAGAGTCTGTGGCGATAATATTGCTGAAAATGCACTGCATTCGATTTTCTAAAGTAACAAACTTGGTTTTTTTAAAACCATTAAAATCTGTGTGTGCGTGTGTATGTATGTGAGCAGTTGGTCTTACCAGAATCATTGTTGAACTGTTGAACTACCTGAAATAAGCCTTTAGAATGCTAAATATTATGCTTTTGTCTCTTCTTTTTTGACATTTTCTGATTTCTGCCCCCTCAAAACTCAATGAATATTTGCCCAATACGATTATAGAAGTCCTGCCTTGGATGGTTTTGAAGAGAACAATGTCTTTATTTCTTGGAATGGCTCACATTTCAATTGATGGCACAAATTAACGTTTTGTTGTTGTTGTATAACAACTGGTATTCTAAAGGCACGAGCAGGAGTAGCTGCTTTTAGCAGTAGACTTGTTTTGGTATTTTGCTGCTGTTTACTATAATGCGCACCTTCAGAAAATTTCCCAAATGAATGCGAGGAATTTGGGGATCTCTCTAGCAACAAAATTGTGAAACATAAAAATTCTTTTGACTTTGATATATAAAACCTAACCTATTCACTTTTTTAACAAAAAGAAAACATTATATTTGTGCAAACTGGGTTGGGTTGGCCACTGTTCTACTGTCCCGAAGATAGCTGGGGAATAATTTTAGACCTACTCAAGTTTTTTTTGTTTGTTTGTTTGTTTTTTTAAATAATTTTTCTCTCCTTAACAGATGCATCCCTTCTTAGGAAAAGTTGCCTTGGTTTACAGACTAAATGGAAAATTAAATTGTAAGGGCAGAGATATATCCCATTTAATCCTAATCTTAAAAAAAAAGAGTTGGATATTTTAAAGTTGTTAACCAATCATTTCTTACCTAATATTTTGGGAGTTTTGGTTGTTGATACAACCTTTTTTCAGTTAATCTGAAAAATTCCAAAAATTGTGCTTAAGATCTTAGAACCAAAATTAAACTGGACTTCAAAAAAATCTTCTTAGTTATTCTTGCCTTAGGCAGTCAATTAAGTTTGGCGTTATTGTCAGACCAGATAAAGGGTAAAGTAAAATAGTGGGAACAAATAAGAGGCTTTCCCACTCTGTCCTTAAGCCATATCTCCCACGTATATTTTTTAAGGAAATGGTGAACGAAACATTAAAAGCTCTTTAATTCCTGATCTCTCTTCATTTTCATCTACGGTACAATGCCCTCACAGACAAAAAGAAAACAAAGTACACACACAAACAAAATCTTTCTGTTTAAATTAAACATCTGAGCCAAAGCCAATGACAGTAGAATAGAAGTTATTGTATAATTGTTAATCATTTGCAAGTAGAGGCTAAGATGTCAGAGTATCTATATTGGCATTGCTGGACTATAAACTTTCTATACCTGTAATATATGAAGTGTTTGCGTTTTTAATTGGGCTGTATGATTAGTAGTTTATTTTGAAATAGCTCTATGAGCTCTTGAGTAACTGCATGGTTTTTTGTTCAGTGTAACATAGGAAACCCTTCACATTCTCAAGGAGTATATTCCCAAACATTTTTGTGGTGTTTAAGTTTGTGAAACTGCTAGAATATAATGCAGTAAGGTGTTAACTACAATTGTAAATGGCCTCTAGGGGGTCCTATTGAATACCTGGTAATACGTAGGCAGTCGGCAGTTGCAAAACTACACTGAGCTACAGCCTCTTCACTCTTAAGTAATTTGCCTTATATAACAGCCCTTCTACTTCTGAGGTTCAAATTAGTGACTTCGGAAATGTAGAATTTCTTATTTATCATGTCTTATTTTTTAGTATAGATTGGAGACTGTCGAAAACTCTTAAATGCTCAGATGCCAGGGGTCTACTATAGCATCAGTATTTAGCAGAAACTAACTCCATAATGAATGGAATTCAATTCCACACATGGTTTGTTCAAGCACACTTAATAAGTAGCCTATTTTTTAAATGTCTTTTTAAAATGTAAATATTTGGATGAAAATTTCCTTTGTTTTGATATATTCATTTGCTACACCAACATGGTTTCAGAATTCATCTTTTGAACAACTTGGTTTCAGAATATGTAAAATGAACTTAAGGATCTTGTGTATCACACCTGTCGCCTTGATGCGTGAGAATACATGTGTTCATAAAGCATGGATCTTGCTTTGGTTGTATAGCTTCATCATTTATTTCATGGTCTTACATAGTGACTTCTAGGACTAATCCTGCCCTCTAAAGCCTTGTCTAAGGAGGGGAAAGGGGAAATGGGACCTCCAAGTTAGAAGCCTCAGGGAAGGGGTGAAGTAGAAATCAGAAGGAAAAGAAACATCACCTTGATGTTAATGAGACTTTTAATTTTAAGCAGCTTCATAAAATGGGACTTTGGTAGGAGGAAAAGGCAAATTTAGACCTTAAAAAATACTAGCAAAATACTGCCTTGAAAACATGTTTGTAGCTCATTAGCCTCGAACCGTATTCTGACTGTTGGGGAGAAGTAAAGGGTGGTAATGTAACATCAAAACCTTTACTTAATGACTTGGGTTATTTTGGAAGTACCATAGTTAAATGTAATAATATGCAAGGCTGATATGTAGCTTTCATCTTTAGTAGTACAATGATATTCATACCCTTGGTGTGAAGGAAAATTTACTTGGTTAGTACATTCGAATAATGAACATTTTTTCTTAATTCGTATACATACCATCTCTTGCCAAGATTTTGATAGACTACACCTTTTATTTTAGTTATAAAATTAGATGCTAGCTTCAATATAAAAACATTTTCAGGTGCACTTAAGTCCTTCTACACTTTTAGATGGCATCATTTATGGCTGTAGAACTAAAATTAATAAATTTGTTCTAATTTTTTTTTTTTGAGACAAAAAAATGAGCTGTGAGTATTTAGACACCACAGTAGAATGCTGTGGTGTCACAGCTCACAGCAACCTCAAACTCTTGGGCTTAAGCAATTCTCTTGCCTCAGCCTCCCAAGTGGCTGGCACTATAGGTGACTGCCACAATGCCCAGCTATTTTTTTTGGTTGTAGTTATCAGTTTTGGCAGGCCTGGGCTGGATTCAAACCCTCCATCTCTGGTATATGTGGCTGGCGCCTTAGCTGCTTGAGCTACAGATGCCGAACCTGTTCTAATTTTCTTAAATGCTACTTTGAACTGCTGCTTTACTGAAGCACATCCTAACATAAACAAGATCCTTGTTTTAGTGTAAGTGGAATGTTAGGTTTCATTGTTAAGCTGATCTGTATGTTTATAGTATCATCCTTAGAGGATATTTAGGAAGGAGGAACAATTAAGAACTAACTTGTAGACATCTAAATAATTTTAGTATTCTTATAAAGCTAGTGTTTGTATGATTTTATCCTTTTTTATTTATAGAAAAACATGGACTTATATGTTAATTATATCATCTAAAGTTCTGGGATTTATCTTTAGATTTGGAGTTATTTAAGGCTATGGCTTAGTTGCTTTTTTAAGAAAGTAGGAAAGGAAACTCATTTATTAAACACAAGTCGTGTGCTAGGTTCTCTTGAGCCTTTCCATTTATCATTTCATAAACCTTCACATCAGCTCACTGAAGGAATGTGGATATGGTTCTCATTTTGTAGATGGAAAAAATAAAACCTGAATGCTTGGTTACATACTGAATATGCAAAGTTCAAGTAACCTTCGTACTAAGTATATTATATATGCTTGCTATGCTGTATGGTAGTATATAAAGCCCCAAATAATTATTATACACTACTCTGAGCTATTACAAATTGATTTGTCTAATATTTATGGTGTGTATATATACATATAATTATTTGAAGCTTGACTTTGCATTTTTGTTATCTATGGTAATTCAGTTATCTTCAATACCCTATTTAATCTCTCTTACTGATGCATTTTTACATGTCTCCCTGATTAACAAACTCACGGCCTTTAAAACCATTTTCTGCAAGTTAGATTCAGTAGCTTGATTGGATTTTCAGGTTGTAAAGGGTTGGAAGATTCACCTTCATGTTAGAGAGGAGAATAAGGTGTCTGTCCTGGGATTATCTAACCAGATAATTCTGTAACTGAGATCACAGGTTAAGACTTCTGTCTCTAGTCTTCTGTTTAGTGCACAGTGAGGCACGAAACAGAGAATCCAGTGTACTGGAATGCACGTGAAGGATAGCCCTTATTTAAAGTCTAATTCACAGTCAAAGGTGATTTGACTGCCTTTTCTGTTCCCCTGTGGTCCCTTATGTAGACTTCTGTCAGAACCTGAGGCATTCTGTCACCTTGTTGACACATCTGTTTCCCTCTCCTTTGGAAGCTCTATATTTTGGGTTTTTATACCCAGTTTCTAGTTCACATTTATGTAGGAACCTATTACTGTTTAAAGGAAGAACAAGAAAATGTGGGCCAATTTTCATTTATTGTTCTTCCATGTGATATAGTGTGATTCATGAATATTCCTGGTGGTAAGCCACTGTCATTGCCAGATCTGAGACTGAACAAAGGGAGGTGGGATGATGTGCCAGCCTGGGAATTAGAGGGTCCTTGTTAGTCTGTCCTGGCTACTGGCAGCACGTCCCTGGGGTCCCATGTGTTCTTTTGTAAATTGAGAGATACTTGAAATGTCAGCCCTAGACCCTTACTTAATACAACGTTACTAAAGGATTCTTTCTTTAAAACTAGTTTACTTAGTGGAAAAAACTCCTAGTGGGCTGCCTAGGGTCAAATCCTAAACGGGGTGGTCTAGGTGAACAAGGTCCCATGATGTCACTGTGCTTCAGGTTCTGGTGCCTGCTTCCTAGGGTAGTTAAGAGTGAATAATGGAAAGTGCTCAGAGCATTGCCTGCATCAGAGAGCTGTCTGTGATTGCTCTGACATCTCCTGAAACTCCACGTGGGAAAGAGTACATGGGAATTTTTGGACTTTAAGGTGGAATGATAAGTTAAATTCTGAATATTATACAAGGAAACTATTCTTTTTTAACTCAAGAATAAAAGTTTTAAGATGGCTGTATTATCAATTTAGCAATGTGGATTTAGAAATGAACCAGAGTAATAATGCTGGCAAGTGGAATTTTTATAATAAATCTCTTCACACCTGCACATCCAGTGGTTCTTTTTCGGAACACTTGAAGAGGCTACATGTTTTCCAGTGAAGGTGTTGGTGTTCATGCCATTTTTAAACCTCATTTCTCAGAATCTCAGCACATAAACCACCCAAAGAAAATCGATCTTATTTCTGAATACTTTTTTCAGAAATCCTATCACTCTTAATCGCTTACCTTGTATTTGTCAGGATAGGCGCTTAATGTCTAAAGGCATTTCAGAAAGGAGCATGAGAAGGACTTTAATCAAGAATGGTGTTGAGAGTGAGTCTGTCAAGCCTCTCCTGTTACACCTACCCCAGAAACCCTGTTATCCCTGATGAACAAGCTTACAGGAGCTAGGCACCCCCTTGTCTCATTTTGATCAGGCTGTTTCCAGCTTGGTTAGAATAAAGTTGCAAACCCTTTGACAGGGAGCATATCCACAGTAACGCACAAAAGATAACTTAACCTATGGTCTCATGCAACATTTAGGATTTCCTTGGTATTTTATATTTTCTGAGGTGCGTGCTTTTTTTTTTTTTTTTCATGCTATCACAGTCCAGAGTCAAGCTATGTTTGAACGTACTCTGTCTGGACAGTGACTCTCATGTAAGGACCCATTGCCATCATCCATGGTAGAAGTTTTAACACAGTTGGTCCATAGTAAATATGAGCACAGGATTTCATCCCCTCGAACTCAACCTAAGCAGTTTCGAGTCCATGCATTTAAGTTTTGCATTTACTGTCCAGTTCATGATCATTGACCTCTTCATCAACATACTGATTGATGATGCATCTTATACAAAATCTAGCCCTAGAAACCCAGGGTGATGTCTTTCCTGTGTGGAAATCAGATCCAGGGCAAGCTGCTGTCTGCTCTTGAAGCTGAGTCTGCAGCTGTGGTAATGGGCAGAGGCCACCCTGGATGGCAGTATGAGTATGTTTCGTCATCTTCCTATTAGGTACGAAGTCCACCTGAATAGCACAAATCTGGTTTACTCTGCGGCCCCTTGCCTAGAAGTACTACTTTTCAGGAGCCACCTGTAAGAATCTGTGTCCTAGAGATGGCGCCTATGCCTCAAATGAGTAGGGTGCCAGCCCCATATATCGGAGGTGGTGGGTTTACACCTGGCCCCGTCCAAAACCTGAAGAAGAAAAAGGCTCAGTGCCTGTGGCTCAAGTGGCTAAGGTGCCAGCCACATACACCTAAGGTGGCAGGTTCGAATCCAGTCTGGGCCCGCCAAACAACAATGATGGCTGCAACCAAAAAATAGCCAGGCGTTGTGGCGGGCTCCTGTGGTCCCAGCTACTTGGGAGGCAGAAGCAGGAGACTCACTTGAACCCAGGAGTTGAAGGTTGCTGTGAGCTGTGATGCGACAGCACTCTACCCGGGGGGAATAGCTTGAGGCTCTGTCTCAAAAAACAAAAGAATCTGCGTCCTATTGGTCACACTGGCTTTTTACATGCCAATTAATGACCTCAGGGATCTGATTTCAAGAAATAACCCTGTTGGTGTGCATTCATGATCCTCTTTGTACAGGGAGAGCTTTGCTATGCCCACTGTCGTCTGCACACAGAGCTCAAAGCTGCGTCCAGCTCGTCACAGTCACCAGCTCCTATCCCTTTAAGATTCTTGAGAGACTTACCTCCAGTTGTAAACCTTCCCCACATCCTCTCCGTCTCTGGCTGCTTTCTTTTTGTGCCAATCTGTATGAAACCCTTCTATCTTAAGTCTTGCACAAGACCGTCTTGCCTCCAGCTGCATTCCTATTGTTTTATTTTCCCCCCTGTCAAAGTATCCCCTATGGCATTGGCTTCCTTTTTCTTACCAGGCCTTTCCATCTAATTGGCTTCTGCCCTCTGCAGGCCTGCTGTCTTAGGAGCTCCTCTCCCTGCTTGCTAGAATCTTCTTCAGTCTCAGTTCCCTGTTTAACCCATTGACCATGGCCCCAAATTCACCTTCATTTTAGTCAGGAGCTCCTTTTCTTCTGGTGATTCTGTTGACTGGCCCCAAGCTAGCTTAGGCTCATCGTGTCCTGCTCTCTGGACTGTCCTGTTGAGAAAGCTTAGCACTTCTCTT